AGCTAGATTTGTGGAACAAAATCTCTGCAGGTACAGGCTTGTAAAAGCACTGTGATCCATGTTCGCTTGATTCATCTCCCATTGATCTGTAATCGGTTCGGCACAATTGGTTAAACCCTAAGGCACATGCTCACCAGGAGCCGGTGCCCACTTTCTCAAACATTTTCATATCAGTACACGCATTTGGTATCAAACCCTCAAATGTATTCACCCATTCCTTTCCGTTCTCCTCCGTGGCACACGCTAACCAGGTAACTGTGTACACTTTCTTAACCCAATATTACCAGTACACGAAACCAGCGTAAAAGATCCTGTCTGGTACATACTTTCACAAGTATTGTGACCTAATATCCCTAAGCAACATTTTTCTCCAATTGAATTCACCCAGTCCTGTCCGTCCTTGTTGGTGGCACACGCCAACCAGGTAGCTGTGTACACTTACTGAACCCAATCTTACCAGTAAACGGATTTGGTTTCACAGCTTGATCGGCGGAACACTATTCAGTCCCGTACATACTTTCATAAGTGTTGTGAACTAATATCCCAAAATAACATGTTTCTCGAATTGTATTCACTCAATCCTTTCCGTCCTCGTCTGTGGCACACGCCAACCAGGTAGCTGTGTACACTTTCTTAACCCATTATTGCCAGTACACGAAACCAGCGTAAAAGCTGGATACGTGGAACACAATCCTGTGTGGTATATACTCCAACATGTTTTGTGATTTAATATTCTGTAGTCGACTCCGGTACCCTATCATTTTAGTACAAATTTCTTGGATTCCAATCATTTTCTGTGTTGTTCCGCCGCATGCTCTGTTTCCCGCTCTCCTTCTCTTTTTCAGCTGGGTACTACCCCAGACTGCTGCATATCATCTCTTTGTTCCAGATTCGTTTGGTTTGGGCCTGACGAAGGCTTGGGGTCCTCACCCACGATGGACAATTTGGCTCCCGCAATTATTGTTGGGCACGGCTGTATCCACCATTTTGATTACACGCGTCCGCGTTCCGGACCAGGTTGAGGATCTGTAATAACCAAATAGGAACCGGAATTGAACAGCGCGAACTTGAACTCGGACTGAAAAC